TTTGAGGCAAAAGTCATAGTTAATAGTTAGTTAATAGTGAGAACTTTACCTTAAAATAAAGTGTGACAATTTATTTTAATTTTTGTTTAGTTTTGTTTTCATTCTTTGCACTTCTTGATAATTGAATCAGCAGTGTCCGTTCCATTGTGGGCAACTAAACTCTTTTTGACATTGCTGCAGTATGTGTCCCTTTCATATTTTATGCATTTTAAATGATCGCACATGTCTTTGCATTACCCTGTGCCTTCATGTGCTTTAGATTCACAGCCTAAAAAAAGATCACTATTCTGTGCTGATTTTATTCAGATGGATGTTGTTCATCTTAGTAAACAGAGCTTACTATATATATATATATTATTACTTCATATTTCCATTTTTCAATATTATTTCAGTTTTCAGTTGTTGCTTAGAAAAACATCACAGGCAACAAAATTATGTGTACTTTATTAATATGAGAAAATTGTAAGTGAATATTTTTATGAATATAACATACCTTGTGCATTTGTAAAAACATCCCCACTGGTGTTTTTTGGCTTGTTTGTTGTGTGCAAACAACAGCCATGCTCTGTTAATCACACTAAATACGATCCTTTGCTTCTGTAGACTCTGATGAAGAACTTGATGATAAATATGATCTTGAGAAGCCCATCGTCTAACAGGTATCAATATTAATAGTTATTGTATAAAATGTTTTTCTTCCTCAGTTGATCTAATCCAAGTAATCTTAATAATACGTTATTATTTTGCTTTTTTATTAGGAGCTCAGATTAAAGACTGATTGTCAGAGTGCAACAGCCTCTTCAACCTCGGGCCATGTGTCTTAATATAGGTTTTTGTACATGGGTGACCAGAACTAGACAGTCACTCTGCCTTAAATCCACTATCGCCATGATCAGCAGTTTGTTTATCTCTTTCTATGCCCACACAAGCTCTTAGTGCAATTGATTTTTTTGTGTGACTTAATTTTTTTCCACTGAACAAAAAACTAGTGTTTATGCAGTACTGCTTGAAAAAATGAAGGATTTTAATGTGCATTTTGAACTTAATCATCAAATGATATCAGCGTTGAACACGACATTTATGCCACTCTTCAAATGCTTCAGTGTAACAAAACTGAAGTTTTTGTTTTTGGCTCCTCTTCAGTAAGCTTTCTTAAATCATCTTAAGTAAGAAAAATAAATCTACTTCCTGTTGAGTTTACTTTTGCCATGCTTACTGAATAAGGGCTTATGTATCTGGTGCAGGTCTGGGACCTCCGGTTTTCTTTAATATTTTGAGAATCTCCATACAGTATGTACCTATCACAAAGCCTCAAGTATGCAGGATGATGGCCGATTGTATTTTTCTTTCGTTATGCATTAAAACAATTACTGTTTTTATTAAATGTGAGTCTTTATGCATGAGTTTTTCCAGCCTGAAAGCGAGGGGAGCGGAAACCCCAGCTGAGAGTCAGTTTGTGCTCTCACGGATAGTGCAACCTCCTCGCCCACAAATAACAGCTTAGATCAACAAGACAAACACCCTGCAGCCGCTAATAAATTATCAGCCAATCGTGCTGTGGTTAAACTGCTGCATGCTCTCTTTCCAGTACGCGCCTCCGCCTGCGGTGTGTACATACCCAACCACATTTTCCTACCGCAGCAGTTTCAATCACCATGTTTTCACATTCATGTATATGGGGTTTTGATCTTTAAACTTATTTAATAAATTAAAACAGATTATTTTGTAGCATAGTGCACTATAAAGATGTAAAATGTTATTTGTTTTTTAAGAAGTAAATTTTAAGTAGTAAAATAGTAAATTTTAGGCAGTGATTTAGCAAACATAATAGTCAAGTTTAGTATTATTATTAATAAATTATATAATTTTTATGATGTTATGAATTATTGGAACCTAAATAAGTACTTATCTGGTACATGCTGTATTTTATTGGCATTTTGATTTATTGATAATGTCTGGGATAATATAATAATCTTTTTATATAATAATTTCATTTTATTTTTAAGATAAGATCTCATACAATCATAATTTATAAAAAAAGAGTTGAATTATTCATAATTGAAAAAGTGCGTTTGTAGATAATTCGTCTTACTACACGTGTAAAGATAACATTTCATTTATTTTATGAGCAGATTTTATTTAAAAAATTCAGAGAATGCAACAAAAACATTACAATGGGAAAGTAACACATTTTAAATTTGGGTACATTATACATTTTAAAAAATCAAAATATTGCATTTTAAAGATGAAAAAGTAAATTGTTCAAAGCAGATCTACAACAAATTTAAAAGCCATACATTTTAAGCAGAAATAATATTGCTGTAGATATGCATCTATTCTTTAGTTAGCGAAATGTGCTTTATGTAATAAACCTTTGCTTGCTTGATATTTATCTTATGCATTAAGTCTCTGAGCTTTTGTCTTTCTTTCCAGCTTTTCTCTTTAATTGAAACATAGACACAATGCAAAAAAATAAACCGTTCTTCATGAGCAAGACACCATATGCATAGACAAACAGGAACATACTTGGTATTTGCTCTGAATCTCCTGTAATAAAGAAAAAAAACAGTTAAATGCTTTTATGTAAAATATTTATATGTTAATTGTATTCATACTGTATATAGGTAGCAAGCGTAACATATCTGCGCATTATGTTTTTGATAAACACAGGTAACAATTTATGTGAATTAGATGTTTTGGCATGAATGATCTGACAATGTAAGTTTTTTCTTCTCTTTTTGGTCCCTTAAGGTGCAGTGTCAATAAAAGGTAACACTTTACAATAAGGTTCATTAGTTAACACGAACTAAGATTGAACAATACAGCATTTATTAATCTTAGTTAATGTTAATTTCAGCATTTACTAATGCATTATTAAAATCACAAGTTGTTTGTTAACATTAGTTAATGAACTGTTAATTAACATGAACTAACAATGAACGACTGTATTTTTATTAACTAACATTATCAAAGATTGATAAATACTGTAATGAATGTATTGTTCATTGTTCATTCATGTTTGTTAATACGTTAACTAATGTTAACAAATTACATCTTATTGTAAAGTGTTACCCAATTAAATTAAGACAAATAGGATCAGTTAGATCAGAATCGTTCAGTGACTATAATAATAATAATAATAATAGTCTGTTAAATGACATTAAGAAGCATATAAAAAGAAAATGTACAAACGATTATACTCTGATTTTAACTGGCAAAAAAAGTATTAATTTAAATGTATAATAGTCTGTTAAATGACATTAAGAAGCATATAAAAAGAAAATGTACAAACGGTTATACTCTGATTTTAACTGGCAAAAAAAGTATTAATTTAAATGTTGGCTTGGAAATAAGATCTTGAAATACAAAAATAGTTAAAAATCCATCCAAATGTATATACATTTATCTATTAACTTTTCATTTATTTACCTGATATTTGCTTTTTTATGGTCTCCTCAGTGCTGGGTGAACATGTTGGGTTCTGAGCATCATTTTTAGATTCCTTTGCCGGCTTACTGTTTTCTAAAATATAACAATACAGTGACAAAAATGTAAATGCAAATACACAAACACATGTATATATGAAGAGTTCATTTGCAAAAACAGATAACTCAGTTTTTAACAATTTTCAAAAATGATGTATTTTTCATTGTGCATTCCAATTAATCTCAATCAAACTGCAGTTGGGTTATTTTGATTAGGTAAAAAAAAAATAACTAAAAAATACAGCTAACTAACACAATAAATCACAATAAAAACATGATAACATAGTAAAAAACATGATTTTTGAAAAAAAAAAAAAAAATTGCAAATAAACTTCATATTATTTTTTTTTTTCATGAATGTTTCATCCATATGTTAACACTGTAATGTTTGTAGTGTTTAATTCTAATTAATTCTTTGATTTAATTAATGGTTTAATGAGGTTGTCATACATAATAAGGAATAATTGTTTATAATGGAAGCTTTCTGTGTCTTCAACCCGTATCAGTTGTATTAAACTTTATTTCCATGCAATTTGTAGTAAATCGGAGTGTCTTCAAATTACCTTTCTTCATTTCAAGAGATTTGGAAGGATTCTCAGTGTTTCCCTCATGGGTAACAATGCATTGGTAGTCCTTGTTTTCTGCCATGTTTTTATCTACAATCATCATACTTGTCACAGTGACAGCTGGACTTTCTTTCCTCTGCTCCAAAACATTTTCCTCTGATACATCTGTCCACTGTCCTGCACCGCTCTTTTCTTGCCATTTGAATGTCACAAAGTCAGGAACCATGCCACTGGCATGGCATAACATTGTCTGTTTGCCATGAATGTCAGTGTTTTTTTTTGATGGTCGGTATCCAGTCAACTCTGGTACCGTAACAATTTCTTTCTTTGGGTCTTGAGAGAAACACATGTTGAACATAGCTTCAGTGATCAATGAGCAAATGAGCAAATAAGCAAAAAGAGAATGACTGGCATAGTTTTTACTTAGAAATTATATAATTTTATGCATTTGAAGAAATTCTGACACTGTTTCCTACCGGTTACAACCAGCCGTGTTCCAGATCCAAATCTTTTGATCCAGTTGCCCACTCAGATAAAGTCTATTACAAATACTTCTGAATAATGAAAAACCTTCTAGCCTACTATATAATTGATTAAGACCACTGTTCCTGATGGTCTACACTATTTTAAAGGGATAATTCACAAAAACAAAAAAGAAAATTCTGTTATCATCGCCCTCATACTATTCAACATATGACTTTATTCTTCCGTAGAACACAAAAGATATTTTGAAGAATGTTTTAGAACTGTTTTCGTTCGTACAATGGAAGTCAGTGGGGTCCAAAATCACACTGAACCTTTTTTATTATTATTTTCATTGTATGCACAAAACAATTGCACAGTTTTCAAAATATCTCCTTTTGTGCTCCACAGAAAAAAGTCATACAGGTTTAGAATGACATGAGGGTGAGAAAATAATGACAGACTTTTCATTTTGGGTAAACAATGACTTTAGCATATTTTCACCTTTTTTATGCAAACATGCACACTCACTAAAGCAGCCTGGAATTGCTATTCTACACTAGCTATTCTCTCTTCTTCAGCTGAATTGCACAAGTAATTAGTGTGAAATTAAGTTTAAAATGCTTAAAATCAGCCTAGAAGACCTTAATGATGTGATTTTTTTCTTACCTATCACGAAAAGTCTTGTACCCGAACCGAAGACTTTCCTGTCTCCCACAGTCATTTGTTCTTGAACAAAAAGGTGCAGCTTGTGCAAAAGAGCATCTGCTGTTGCCTTATGTACATTGTTGTAGAATATCCCTGTAGACTTTTGAAATATTAACTAAGTAGACTTTTGAAATATTAACTAAGAGAGATAATATGAATCTTAATCTTGATTTTGGTCACTGAAGTGCTAAAACACTTTTAATTTACTTCTGCATTGAACAAATCCAGCAATAGTCTTCTGTACAGTGTCATATCACATTGTTACCAGTAGGACTGCAATAGTTTATTTACAAATCTTGCAATACTCACTCACGGCTGGTACAACTGTCAACAAGCTGAGATTTGACCAACAGTAGAAATGCGGTCTGTGGCTATGCAGACTCACTAAACGTTTAGTAAAAAATATAATAATATTAATCAATTAATTAAAAAATTAATTCAAATGAAGGCCTTGTGTCTGTTAAAGGGGTCATATGATGTTGCTAAAAAGAACATTATAGTCCTAACCTGTGTAATGTTTATGTAAAATGTACATGCATGGTGTATGTACCTATTAGTTAATGTACAGAATAAGTTATGCGGTACTCAAGTTGAGGGGTATAAACATGGACCAAGGTACTTATTGAGTAATTGATGGTAGGTGCCATTGCAGTTTGGAACTTTGGAAGTTGGTTGGGAACACGGCAGTAACTGTGCAGCACTGCATAGTGTTAATACTTAGCAGGCACAGTCCTTTTAAATAGGGATTTAGACACATGACAATCAGGAGTTGCAAGTGCAAATATGAGTCTGGTAGCTACTGTATAATTCCAAAATAAAATCTGTCTACACACATAATTATTAGAAATGTACGTCATCAAAAATCCCTATTGGACCAATTAGTTAAGAGAAACAGTGTCGTTAAAGATGAGGCAAGTTAACTGCAATGGCACCTACCATCAATTACTCAATAAGTGTACGTTCATGTACGGCACTACCTGTAAGTACCAACACTTGTCTGTATGTACAAAATAATTACCATGCATGTACGACTGTTAAGTACAGCCGCGTTTCTTATTAGTTACCATGTACATACACTTCAGGTAAGTACCTTGTGTTACCACTCATTTGCCTGTAGGTACAAGATATTTACCATGGATGTACAGGGAAGTACACGTACTGTAAAATAAAGTGCTACCGAATTTTCAGCAAATCACCATATTAGAATGATTTCTGAAGGCCCAAGGGACACTGAAGACTGGAGTAATGGATGCTGACATGCAATTCCTTGGCTTTGCCATTAAAGATTAAAATAGAAAACAGTTATTTTAAATTGTAAAAATATTTAACAGTATTACTGTTTTTGCTATATTTTTGATTAAATAAATGCAGCCTTGGTGAACATAAGAGACTTCTTTCAGGAACATTACAAATTTTAATTATTACAAACATTTGACCACCAGTGTACATAAATTCTTGTCTGCTAACTTAATATGCTACATAAACAAAAATATTGGTAAAGCCTTGAGCAGCTTATTAGACTGTGTAGGGGCAGTGAACTCATCTTTCTTTATATGTGCAGAATGTTATTTCACCAGCAAGGGATGTATATTTTCAAATCTCAGACAAACTTTAATCATTTCCACTATGTAAGTTCTCCTATAAAGAAGGGGTTTGTATGTACATCTGCAGTCTACTGATGTTTTTCACCACATTTATGAGGACATCCAGCAGGTGCAGCACCACACCAGAACCCTATTTCTGAACAGAATGGTATCAGAACCCAATTTCTAATAATACATTTTTGATATCAACTGCATATGGGTAACAAATGGGAGGCTGTTTTCCTGTCCTCATGCTAATCTGAGTTTTCATTGAGGTTCATGATTAGGATGACAGCTCAGGCTCAGAGCCCCTTATTCAAAAATAGTAAACAGAATCTGGTTGCGTTGTTTATTTCTGCATTTGTCAGTCACAGCTTACACTGCTATTCAAGATATACATTTTGTCATTTCATGTATTCCCTGAATCAAACCCATAAGCTTGGTGTTATTAGCACCATGCTCTACTGTTTGAACTACAGTAGTACATTTATGTTTATATAAAGTTCAGGGAAAGGTTTGTGGCTTCAGATCAAGACAGGAACCCTGCAGTTTTTGTGCAAAGCTTCAGTATTTATATTTACAGTGCTGATTGAGTTGTAGTCCCATACAGCAAAATCCCCAGAGTTAAATCAACTCTGCTCAGAGTACATATTGTCCCAATCTACAGAGTGTTAAAGTAAAACTGAAGCAGAGTTACCACTGTTGAGGATTATGTGATATGTTTTCATGTCTAAAAGCCTGAGCAGTAGTTGTTCATCTTCAACATTGTTAACAGTGGGTTTTCTTTACTAATGCTCACTCATCAATTAATTAATTGCTTAATTAACCCATTAACTTTAACTCAGCTTCAGTGTTACTTTAACACTCTGTAGATTGGGACAATATGTACTCTGAGCAGAGTTGATTTAACTCTGGGGATTTTGCTGTGCAGCATGCACAGTAATACATTGCTGAATGCTCTTTTTTTCAGCTTGGTGATTTTCAAAGCAAAATGATTCGATGCTTTCTTTTCTGATTTGAACTCATCACCAGCATCATTCCCTTTTGCAGATCCATCATTAATGTCAGCATACAGAATTCTCTTGAGTGTTTCTTGATCTTTTTGCTGATACCAGTGGATGTAGCCCCAGCAGCTTATATGTAATTGACAGTCTATAACGGCTAACTTTTCCACTGCTTTGGTCAGTGAGATTTTCTGTTTCAGTGCCACAGCTCCATCCACTGCAAAAAAAAAACAAAAAAAAAACAAGTCACAAATCAAATTTCCTTTTCATAGAGACTTTTGACTATTAGGTTAGGTGCATAATAATGGTTATTCAAAACACTAGTTTTATAATACAGAATCAGTTATAATGCCACACAATAAAATACTCACCTTTGCATAGCAACTGAATAAACAGGAATAACGAAAGCATCAGAGGAGCATTCATAGCATTCATGGTGGCAGAAAGAGCCTTCTTCTGTGTTTTCTCTGTGATGAAGGTGGATTTAATTTCAGTGAGCTACAAACATGAAGTTGCAATGCTATTGAGTTTCCTACCCTCATGCTAATTGAGTTATACAGTATGTGACATGATCTTAATCTGTACATTTACCTTAAGTTTATTCTTTTCCATCAAGGATTTATGCATTTCAATAATGGATTTCATCATTTCCACCACTTTTGAATGTGACACAGGATCAGCCTGTTAGTCTGCAATGAGCGTGATTTCTAATGTTGTTTGGACTGCCTCAGCACCTAAAGAAACAAGTAGCCTATAAGTAGCTGTATTTCAATGTGTGGTTAAAGTTCTTTGTGATACATTTGTGATACACAAAGTGACATTTAAAGACATAACGAAACATTTCTGGCTATTGGTGGTCTAGCACTTTAAGTCTCAGAATTGTTGCACAATCCATAAGACCATCTAGCACTCGCTCATTTATTTATTTACTTAAACCCTAACCCTACTTGCCTTTCTCCTTACAGCCCAATCAAAGCAATAAATAAATAAATACATAAAGATTTCAAAACATATTGACTGCACTGCTCACATTATGTAATGCATACCAGTGGCTGATGTGTTATTGTTTACTGAGACTCTGCATTGAATTGTGTGCTGTTCATGAATTCCCTTTTGCTTGTTAAAGTTGTTGTACTGCAACCCGAAAAACTGTTTGCATTGACAAGGCCTGCATGTGTCACGATGCACACACACACACGAGGGACGAGGAGACGCTGGAGAATATGTTGACAAGACTTTATTTGCACCAAGGAACCAAGGGAGACGAACACAGGAAGACGTTCAACAGCAGACAGAGAACTAGAGACTGGGAACACTTTAAATACACACAGGAGGAGGGGATGACGAGACACACCTGGGATCCATGAACCATCATGGGGAACACCTGGGACAAATTAAACATGGGAAAGGAACACCTGGGGAGCAAGACACAGACAAAACATGGAACAGAGTCTGACATAACGCCCCCCTCCGGAAGGCGTGACCTCACGCCATATAACATCCAATGGGGAGGGGGGGGTGGGCACTCTGGAGGTCCCTCAGGACAGACACGGACAGTGGGCCTCCAGAGCGGTCCCCGTTCGGGGTGCCATGGCGGATCCGGGGACTCGG